CAGTCACAATGTTTTCAGGTTCTGTCACTTTCAGCTACTCTCTCTCACCCCGCCAGCCTTGCCGATAAGCAAAAGATAACAAACAGCAAAGCATAATGTCTCTTTCTTAAACAAAAAATTAAAATGCACCTAACACCCACCATTTTAATATTTTTTTTAAAATAATGGAACGCTTCACGAATTTGCGTGTCATCCTTGCGAACGGGCCATGCTAATCTATCGTTCCAATTTTAGCACATGTGTTGCCGAAGCAAACACTATTTTAATAATTTTTACGTGTACAGTTCCACTCCTTAGTAGATACCTAGAGTTGAGCAGCTGTCACCACCAGTTCTAGAACGCCATCATCATCTCCCCATAATGCCTTTGTCCATTAGCACTTGGCATTCACCTCTCTGGCTACTACTAATCTACTTTTACACTTCGTGGATTTGTCTGTTGTGAACATTTCAGACAGACTCCTACTTAACACAGACCATTAGAGTTTTATTTGTACATCTTCTTATTAGCAATATGTGCTACATACCACGTTACAGTGCACTATTGGCTGATTTGATGTTCTCAGACCTGCAAAGCTTGGTTACAACGATACTGGTAGTAAAAGGCAGCATTAAAAACATAAGGGGGAGTGGTGGAGCCACTTGACTTCCATCAGACGACTTGCAACTGAGTCCTCAGAAGGAGCCCCAGCGTAAGTCGAGGACCGCCTGTAGGTGGAGTCACAGAATCTGTGGTCTTTGCTTTCCCAAGGTCTACCCGCATTGTAGCACGTGTTAGGACTTCACTCCTTAGGGCCAAACGAGGCCGTGTGGTCCGGCCACATTTTGTTTATTCCTCTGTCGATGGGTTGCTTCTACACTTGGGCTATTGGGAATGCCACCACCACGACCATTGGTGCTGAATTATTTGTGCAAGCTGGCATTTTCCGTTCTCCCGGGCGCAGCTAGGAGGGCCATTACGGAGTCATGCCATAGCTCTATCTTTCACTTTCTGAGGAGCTGTCAGACTGCTTTCCACAGTGGAAATGGGAAATGCACGATTTTATATCCCCGCTGGCAGTGCACAAGTTTTCCCATTTTTCTACCAAAGCAGCACCTTTTTTTTTTTTCTAAGTCAAAAATAGCTTTCAATGCTTGGCTTAGCCTCTGACAACGACTGCTGAGTTACACAGAAGGGCAGGTTTCATCCTAAAGTCCTGGCTCATGGCCTCCGGGAAGAGGTGCTGCTTCCTCCTGCAGCTGAGTGAGTGTCTCCAAAGAGAGCTCACCGGAGGACCCTTGACCTTCCTGTGTTCTACTGTGGGTTGGACATCATGCAGGAACCCCTGCTGTGGTGGCAGCCTGAATGACAGACAGGTGAGACTCTTCCCACTCAGCTGACTACAGGGTGGTAATGGATGATGATCTCCAGCAGCCGCCTGACACAGCCTCCCAAAGATGCTGATTCCCGTCCTGAGGAGCTGCACATGAGCTATTCTAGAGATAAATTTGGCTCCCTAGATTGTTACAACCTACTTATCTCTATAAAGAAAAAGTAACAAGGAATTCAAGGAAACGTAAAACATGCTTTTTACCATCTAATGCCTGGCTCTACCAAGGAATGTTTGAAAAGGAACCCAAACACCATTTTTACTTGCTCTTTTATTACTGAATTTTCTTTTTGGTTTGTGTAACTTCTCTCTATATATTTATCAGATTGTAATTCAAATTTAACTCATAATTGGTAGGTGGGGTGGGACTACAAGATTGTGAGAATAGCTCACATTTCGAATGCAAGGGTCATACAAAAAACTTAACAAAACAGAAACATACCTCCTCCCCAGACTAACCAATCAGCTGCCATCAAGTTGATCCCCACCGGCAGGGATCCCATGCGGAGCAGAGTAAAACTGCCACTTCAGGTTTTCATGGAGGCAAATTGCCAGGCCTTTCTTTGGTGGCATCTCGGCGCGTGTTCAAACAACCAAGCATTCTGTCAGTCATTGATCACTTCCTTATGGTAACTCTTTGCCCCACACAGGGACTCCTTTCAAACCCTCTGCCATCAAGTCAATACTGACTCATAACAAGCCCCTGTGGGTTTCCGAGACAATAACTATTTATGGGACTAGAAAGCCCAGTCTTTCTCCAGCATAGTTTCTGGTGGCTTTGAACTGCCAGCCATGTGAACCACAGCCCAACACATAACCACTACACCATCAGGGCTCCTTAGAGCTGGTCAAACCAAAATCAAACCCACCTCGGTATGGTTAATTTTGGCTCAGCTATACTATGTGACAGGAGAACTACTTTATGGAGTTTCCAATATACAAGGGAGTACCCCTCTTCCCCCCCAAAACTCTGCTGGGTGGAACTTTTGCAGCATGCATTTTCCCCCACTGGGCGAGCATGCAGCAACTTGCTCGGTTAGTGCACCCAGTGGCATCGCCTGGGAAGGCTCTCTGGTCACAGTGAATTTTTCATGAAAATAGTTTCACCCAAACCTTGTTTTTTTGTGTGTGATGGCCGATTTCAGAGAACAGCATGTGGCTGTGAAATCTTGTTTCCTGCTTGGGAAAAATGCCTCAGAAACTGTTGTGATGTTGAATGCAGCTTATGAGGATAGTGCTATGGGAAAAACTCAAGTGTATGAGTGGTTTCCTTGTTTCAAAAAGGGTGAAATGTCAATTGCTGACAAACTTCATTCTGGATGTCTGTCAACTTCCCAATGGACAAAAATGTCGACAATGTGATTTCAACCTGATCATTTCTTTATTCACCTCCATTGAAACTGTACCTGAGAAGCTTCAAGTGATAATATTATGCAAACTAATTTGCATAATGTGTTTAAGTCATCAGTTGACAGCAATATAGACATACAACTCTCATATACACACAGATCTTATAGATCAAGTGAAACAAACCAAGGCAGCATTTTAAAACTTGTTTTCCTTTTAAAATGTGATAGTATTTATTAGTTTTATCTAATTTTTCTTGAATCCTTAATTTTTAGCTTAAATTTAACCTGGTCATTTAATTATGTCTTTTCAACCTGGGCCTGCTTAAGACAATTCTCAAAGCAAGCAATAGTGTGAGTCAGTAAAAACTAACCAGGAACTATAAAAGAGCTTGCAAGTACTTTTTTCCTCAACAATTTTGCAGAGAAACAGTAAAGAGAATTTTCTTTTTGGCATCATGATACCAAAGCAGCACCGGCCTTTTCGTTTGCTTTGTGATTCTTCTGATTTAATTGTAGGTGCCCATGAAGCCATTGCATTTTTCAGTTGAACATACTGTTTTGGGGAATCCGGTAGGCATCCTTAAATCTTAAATGTGGGGTTTGTGAATTTGTACCTCCGTGTATGCTATCCCTTTTATGAACATAGTCCACATGGATTTACTTACACGTGTGGGTTTGGGCTTCACATGTGCATTTATTTTCTCAGTGAGGAGGTCAAATGACAGAGTTCAGGGTGCTGTCTCTAGGGGAAAGCTTTCTTTCTGTCGACTCTTTGTGTTTCGGCTCCTATAGCTTGGCTTATCTCTTCCACCACCAAAATCTTTATTTTACATTTTTAAGGGGAAATGTTTTTAAAGTGGCAGTGAAACAATTGCTCTGCAGCTTACTTGGGTTCAACCGGAAGCCTTTCCTTTCTCAGTGTGTGAATCACAGAGACGCATAAGCAAAGTTGAGCTGAGGCATGCCTTTATGGCAGCGTTACCTACCACCTGTGCAGATGGGGGCACCAGCCTGTATATGCCTTTCCTGGGGTATCTCATGGCATGTGGGTTTGTACTGAGCCTCATTCTCTCTCTGGCAACCAATGACGAGCCCCGTGTGAGTGTGCTGATGACAGCTATTCCCCTGTTGGTGACCGAGGACCCCTGCCCCAGGGTGTGCGGACAGCCAATACACAGACACCGGTATCCATCAAGTCTATTTGTCACATGCACTCACAGCCTGGGGGAGGGAGATACTCCACAGGACCTGCGGGGCACGATGGACAGCCAGGGGCTGTGAGATGATGAGGTGCCCCCTGATTTTCACAGAAGATGGGATCAGTTTTGTGCATGATTCCATGGACTGGCAGAGAGCCCAGGTGGCATTGTTGGGTGTAGTTGGGCTGCTAGCCACGAGACAGCAGTTTGAACCCATCAGTCACTCCAAAGAAGATGAGGTTTTCTGCTCCCGTAAAGATTTGCAACGTTGGACACGCACGGGGACAGTCTACTCTGACTCATAGGGTCACGATGAATCGGAATCAGCTCAATGGTGGTGGATGGCAGAGACCATACTAGCTACCCAGGAATGGCTCCTGGGACATTTGTCGAGGGACCTTAGCAGCAGGAGCAGAGGCAGGAGGGAAACTTGTGGTTATAGCATTCAAGTTTTCCTGATTTTAACCCATGTCAAGGAACCGTGGCATTGCCTTCACTTTAAGAGAGCCAATTGGAACAGACACTTCTGATAACTCATGAGATGAAATGAAGCGTACCGGCCAGCCGTGTAGCTCAGCCGTGTGAGCCCAGAACTCTGAGCACTCGAGTGCATCACGTTACGTACACAGTGTGACCCTTTGAAATCACCAGGCACTGTCCCTTTTGTGACTTCATCTCCCCTACACACCCTCTCCCCACCCCCACCACAGGAAAAACCCCAAAGCAAACCCTGGGCCATAGACGTGACTCGCACTGCATCCGCAGCACGGAGCGGAACTGCCCCTCTGCATTTCTGAGGTTGCTGTAAACCGTTATGGGAGCAGACAGCCTTCTTTTTCTACCCACAGTCCAGCTAGCTGGTGGTTTTGAACCACTGACCAATGTGGCAAGCAGCCCAATTTCAAACCCACTCTGCCACCAGGGCTGAGACTAAATCTTTACAGGGCAAACAGCCTCATCTTTCTCCTGTGGAGTGACTGGTGAGTTTGAACCGCTGACGTTGCTGTCAATAGCTCTACACTGGACGCACAATTCCATACAGCATACTTCAGAGAAATTGTGGGTTCCGTTCTAGAGCGCCACAGGGACATTAGTATCGCAATAAAGGCCGTCACGTACTTTTGGTTTCCCATCTCAAGAGTAGGTGGCCAATAAACTGTTCAATGCGGAGATTTCCTTATGCTGCAAACGTTAGCTGACATGAGTTGAGACAAGATGCATGCATGTCATTATACTAAGAACACCTTGAGTCGATCCTGACCCATAGAGACACTAGGCAGTGTTTCCAAGACTGTAACTCTGTAGGAGGGCAGACTGCCTCTTCTTCCTCCTGCAGAGCAGCTGGTGGGTTTGAACTGCTGACCTTGAGGTTAGCAGTCCAATGCTTAACCCACAGTGCCACAAGGGCTCTTTATTAAACCAAGAACCAAACCAAACTCACTGCCATCAAGTCAATACTGACACAGAGTAGAACTGCCCTTGTGAGTTTCTGAGACTGTCGCTGTTAAATGGGGCAGAAAGTCCCGTCTCTCTCCTACTAAACCAACAGGCTTCCCGATATGACAACTTTTCTCTACTACACTCATCAAGTAGTTTTAGCATCATCTTTTTCTTTTCTTTGCCAGTAATCTCTTTGAACATATGTGTAGTTAAAAGAGGGCATCAGGGCAGAAAGGATTATTATGGGGGGGCAGCTTAACTGAAAAGATGAAATGACCAAAAAAAACCAAAAACCAAGAAAAATGCTGTGTCTCATTTTTCTTTCTTTTTCTTCTTGAAGCAACAGACTTAGCAATTCTTTTACTTACATCACCCAAATGTAGAGAGCCTTGCCCACCACAGATTGTCAAATGTTTGCAGATTTGAGAAAAGAGCATCCAGCAGGATGAGTATTTCCCCAACGTTTCCTTATGCGACATACAACCCACAGCCGTCAGGTGGTAGAATGTAAATCTTTTATTAAAACAGTTGTCTTCCCACAGTAGTAAAGCTTTGGCACGTACAGTATAAAAATAATCACCAACCATAATTATACCAAATTTCTTATCAACTGTATACTAAATGTCTTCCGTACAATTTTTTCCATATAAAAATACTGGGAAAAATTGATAAATAACAGGTACGAGAATATTTCTAGGCAATTACTAGAATCATCTGGGGAAAGATGAGCACTGTGCATGTTTGAAGGTCACAGGAGTAAGGACATGGCGTTCCAATAGTGTTGCGGGCCAGGCGGATCAGTGAAAGCGGAAGTGTTTGGGTAACTTTCCTACTTAACTTTTTGGTCACATCATTTCAGTACAATTTGCATCTTGGTGGGCCGCCTGGGCTTCCGGATGGATCTCCAACCACACCACAAGATAGAATCATTTCTTTCAGAACGCTGAGTGGAATCGAACACTTTGGAGCAGAGCGGGCAACCTCCCCACCCTCGTTCACCAGAAAAGTCTCAAAACACTCCCAGGGTGAGGCTTGGAGAAGCTGTTAGTGGAGCTGAAGCTGGAGAGGTCACTGCAGAGCAAAGGGCTTAAGAAAGAAGCAAACAGGAACTCCACTCCAGCTTGGGTGGCTCTGGACAGAGATGCGGCTTGTTCCTCTGGGTTGGTAACACTATTCTCGGGAGTCATCTCTGTCAGCCTGTATGTCTAAAGGCATGAAGCACTCAATCGGGCAGTTGACGTTCTGCAAAAATGGAAGGAGGAAAAACAATAATTACTGACAGACAGTGTAAGGTGCATAGAAATAACGGGGAGGGGGTTTTGACAATGACTTCTGTGGTTTGGGGGGTCATAAGGCTGATGCTGACGCATGACGACCCCATGGTGCACAGTCAAACTGCTGGGGGTGGGGGGTGGGGCGTTCAAAGCTACCATCTTTCAGAAGCTGATTGCCAGGCTTGTGTTCCAAGGCTCCTCTGGGGGCGGGGTTCCAGCCCCCTGACCATTTGACCAGTAGGGGGCCCTGAGCTCTTTGAGGTGCTCAGGGTCTCCCACAAGACTTACAAGGAGGAGACAATTGCTGTCTGGCCTCAAGAACCTAACAAGATGCTGGCAAGCAGTAGAAAGTCAAGGGTTTAACAAGTTAGGTCAGTTTAAAAAGAGAGCGTGAGAGAAGAGCATTTGGCTCATTCAGAAGGAAGGTACCTACAGAAATCTCTTTCTGTGTCATTGAACTTGGAGGAGGGGCCATTGTGATGCAAAAGCACTTACAGTGTTCGTCTGAGGGTACCGCTGGGAATACTGGCTGTAGGAAGGGCCTCTGGAGCCCTCGGGGCCAGCTGCAGGCCCAGGTCTGCGGCAGTTGTCACAGCGCCAACCCTGAGAGAACAGGGGCGTGGAGTCACATGGGGTTTTGATACGAGGGGAACATCAAGGTTTCATGCTCGAATCAAAGAATGCCAGTTCTTACGCAATGGCAACGTTAGAAGCAGTGAATCACCGGGGATACTCAAACGATGCTTTCATGCATTTTTCAACTCTGGGAGGCCATTTTTGGCTTAACGCCCACCTCTCGTCGTACAGTTTCCTCAGTCTATTGGTCCTGGCCTTCCTCTTGCAATGCCCTCTCCCTCTTCTCCCTGACCATGTTCTTTCTACTGCACCGCGACAACTCCCTTGACGAGCTCTACTTCTGGGGCGCCATGGTCTTGCCATGTGGTCAGAGGTGCGAGTGGGGGATGGGAGCAAGCTAGGCCAGGGACACATCGCCCTGGGATTTCTCCTGGAGAGTTTTGATGGAACCTTTGTGGAGCTGCTGGCAGTCCTCTCTGCCACCACCAGAAGGGAGCCTGCTAGGGGGTGAGGCCAACGTGAGGGGTAGCCTTTCAGAGAGCCAGAGACCCCCGATGCCCCTGCAGGGGCAATCGGAACCCAGAGGCTCCAAGCCATGAGATCCTGGAACTTCATGGTTCTATGAGAGTTTTGGGGGGGTCTAAAATGTGTTGGCCTTTTCTCTTACCACAAAACGACCCCCATATACTGTCATTGCTTTCGTATACAGTCCTATAAAAATATGTCTCCATGTAAGTGCATGTTTCCCCCATGCCCTAGACAATACCAGAAAAAAAGAGTTCTTGCAAAATCAGTGAGTCTTAGTTTCATCCCCCAAATGTAACAGTTCCCACGCTTGTGTATCATGTATCACCTTCCTTGAGACTAGACTAGATATCACTCCTGCACGGCTTTGCATATATGAGCAATGAGGAGATGCTGAGGTGTGACCGCCACATCTACTGCCATCACACATTTCTTTCTTTTTTTTTTTTCTTTTAAAAAAATCATTTTATTTGGGGCTCATACAACTGTTATCCCAATCCATACACACATCAATTGTGTAAAGCGCATTTGTACATCGTTTCTCAAAACATTTTCTCTCCATCTAAACCCCCGACATTAGGTCCTCATTTTTCCCCTCCCCGCTCCCCCCTCCCGCATGTGCCCCCGATAGTTTATAAATGGTTATTTTGTCATATCTTGCCCTGTCCGACGTCTCCCCTCATCCACTTTTTGATTGTCTGTCCCCCAGGGAGGAGGTCACACACAGTTCCATGTAATCGGTTCCCTCTTTCCTACCCATTCTCCCTTTACCCACCCTGTTTTGCCACTCATACCACTGGTCCTATAGGGCTCATCTGTCCTGGATTCCCTATATTTTCAGTTCCTATCTGTACCAGTGTACCTCCTCTAGTCTAGCCAGTCTTGCAAGATAGAATTCGAGTCATGGTAGTGGGAGCGGGGAGGAAACCTTTAGGAACTAGAGGAAGGTTGTATTTCTCATCATTGTTACATCGCACCCTGACTGGCTCATCTCCTCCCCGAGACCCCTCTGCAAGGGGATCTCCAGTGGCCTACTAATGGGCTTTGGATCTCCACTCTGCTGCCATCACACATTTCTATATGAAGGAAATTACCACAGGCGGCTGAGTTCTAGGAACTTCATTTGTCCAAGTGTTAATGAGAGGTGGCCATTCACACCCCTTCCCCTGTCAGAATGTCACCCTTCCTTCCCCATCTACCTACAACCACGGCGTGGAGCAAGATCAGAGACATGGTCATGGGCTTGCCAGGTCCTCAGGTGGGAGCTGAGCCAAGTCCTTGAAGGCTCTTCTCCTGGTGTCTGATTAATCTTTCTAACGGTCATTTCCCATCATGCTCCTTCCCTTGCCGAGTACTTGCACTAGTCTAGCATAATGCCAAATACATCCACTAGTGACTCTAATTCCCCGGGGTGGGGCGTGTGCTCTTCATGTGTCAGCCTCTGGGGAGTTGTTGGGCAGGACAGGTCTTGGTTGAAAACAAAGGACTGTATTATGGTCCCTTGCTTTGGAGTGACAAGTCATGGTCTTTGGGCATCTCAAGTCATACCAAGAAGAACCCAGATAAGAAGTGGTTGAAAAGAACTGCTTTAAGGGAAGGATTTCCAGGGCCCTACAAAATCCACTTCTCCCCACTGAACATCTCGCCACAAGACACCAATCGAGGGTGTGGCACCCTGAGCCCATGGGTGCCAGCTCTTCCCATCTCATGAGGGACGTGTGTGTACTCTGCCTGGCCTCCTAACTGCTCCCTGATTCCTCCCTTCCCCAGGCAGTCTTCTCCACCTCGCCCCGGGCTAGCTTCCCCTTCTCCTTTCCTGCCTGGAGCTCTGTTTATCAGAAGCACTCAAGACCTTGTGAAGGAACTGAAATGTGCAATGTGTGCTAATCTAGTTTGTCCAGCGGTATCAAGAGCCAGAGCCATTTCTTTTATTTCCTTGGCTCATTTCCTATTCATGAACTCCAGGCTAGCCCAGTTACCAGTACGATCCATGGGGCTAGTACTCAGCCATCGGAATAAGAAATTGCCCTTTTTTTCCCCATCTCAAGCACAGAAGTTGTGTGCCTGGTCTTACCTGCTGGCCTCCGAAGCAGGTGCAGGAGCAGATGGCCCCGAGGTATTCCTTCTGCCACTGTTGCCCTACAACGTACATCTTCCCGTCATCGTAACACGAAGCTGCATCTACATGTGGATACGAGTCAGAAGCATAAGGAAGGCCTCAAACAACCGTGCAGACCTCAGCCCTCTACAGGGGCAGCTGCTGTTTCTGCCCTAGACTTGTACCCTCCCAGCTTCTAATCTGACTTGACTCCTTAGACGAGAGGAACTGCTTATAGGTCCCAGGGTGGCTCTTCCAAACACAACATCTATCGCACTGGAACGGGTTCAACAGGAAATTGGAGCTCCTATTTTTTTGTTTTTTGGGGTTTTTTTTCATTAATCATTTTATTGGGAGCTTTTACAGATGTCATAACATTCTATAATTCAAATGAATCGAGCATAATTAAAGAATCGCTACTACTACCAGTTTCAAAGCATTTTCTTTCTTCTTGAGCTCTTTGATCAGGAGGAATAATGAAGCTCATATTTTAAATGTTGAACCCAGCAATAAAGGCTCCAGGTAGCATGGCAATGCAGATCATGGGCAAAGTGGTCAGGATGGAAAAGCACTCAAGTGCCCTGTAAGAACAGTTCATCATGCCCCACTTTTGAAGCTTGTCGCTGAGTCCCCAAGTCAACAGATTCGCAAATCCGCCGTTCACTGCTGAGCCACCATTCATTTCTGTGAATGGGAGCTGCAATCTCGTAACGAGAGCGAGGGTACACAATCAGAAACCAAAAGAGAGCCAGCGCCACGTACGGGGATCACACTTGAATTCTCCTTTTCCGTTTCCAAGACACGTGCAGCTCATCATCTGCCCATTATCCCCTTGCCGATCCCACTTCTCGCCAATCTTATAGTTCACACCATTGTCGTGGCACCACTCTGTGGGGTGGGGAGCAGAGAGGCAGAGTTATTTGTGGTCTCACTCTCAGCCCTGGGATGTCTCAGGGGAATGAGGGACAAGGGAAATCAAAGACGGTGAGCTCTAGGACAAACCCCAATGTCGGTTAGGTTTGAACATGTGATTTGTGCCATTTCCTGGAACATTCGAATGGACTATTTATCCCACCACAATCATTCAGGTAACCAAAGAATATCCACAATCTTCATTTGAATTTTCACTGTTGAAGTTTAAACTTTTGGAAAACAAAACGGGACTGGAGTAGAGCTCACAGGACTGGCTGATAGATGAGAAATCAATTGTATTTTGGATTTGCAGAGGCTCTGGTTAAAAAGTGGTTCCATTAACCAAGAAGGAAAGATCAGCTGGTTGCTATCTGTTGGAACCTGTTTTATGTAAATGGGAGGAAAGAAAGGGTAAACCTGTATGATAAAGCAAAACAAAAACACATACAATGAGAAGTCAATGGTTATTCATCCAACAGAGAAAGAGTGGTTCTAATATCTTAAAAGTAACAGCTACATTTCTTTAACTAGTATATACCATTAAGATGGCTTTTAGTCTCCCAGGTTTGTCCTAGAACAAAACACACCTGATATATGATTTGTACAACACAAGCTACTACATTTTCCGTTTGACCAACAATTCAACTGTTCCTTCAGTGTTAAGCAAGGGTACTGGAGCAATACGACATCGGACCAAAGCACATGGAAGGTACAACAAAGAAGCATGTACATAAACGTATGGCTGTGCTTGACAATGGCACCCAAGTGCTTGTCTGGATCCTTCACATTCACATTTAAAGTCGGTCGGCTTCAGAAATGAAATACTACCAAGTTGATGCCAATCCTTACAATTCCCCAGCCCCAAACCGCATATAACACTCTCGCCCTCTGCCTTTCCATTTGCAGATAGCCAATCAGATCTGTCTACCTTTTCGTGCTTAAACTCAGTATGGTTAAATTATATCCAGTTGAAGTAACTTATTTTGAAAAATTTAACCAGTAAATCTATCATCTTTTATTTCCTCAGAATATGATTTCTAGAGAAGTCTAGGAGGCTTGTTTGTAAGACATCATAGTTAACATCTGATAACTAAAAATCTATTGTCAATAATAACTAGATCTCCTAAATATGAAGCATCAGCAAAAGGTATATACTCTGACACTAAATCTCCAAGAAATGAACAGTAAACCATTTCTCTGGTCATTTTAAACCAATTGAAAATGAAAATCTCTTTAACATTTGTAAGTCAAATATTTTTCAATTAAAGTTGATTCTTAAAGATATACAAGCAGATCGCCTATTCCTCTCCCCTTTATATGACTTGGCAATATTCAGGGCACATGTGTGAGCTTGTGTTTGTATGGACATGTGAGCTATGTGTATGAGTGCGGTATGTATATTTGACTCATGTTGACAGAGTCAGAGTATAAACATGACATGTTTACATCGAACCTCATTCGGGATCAATGCTGGAAAGAGCCCCGGGATTTGTCTCTGATCCTCTTCATTAGAAATGGCTCCTATGAGTATGACTTTATTAATTCCCTCTACAGATAATTCCCAAAGTTAAATAAGACCACAGATTAATTCTTAATTAAGAGCTGTGTCAGCATATGATCCTGAAAATGAAGCAATACCCGCCAAGTAAAATTTCCCATCATTGTTTTTTTTGATGCAAAATATTACTTCGTGTCAAACAGTCTTCCATTGTTTGCTACATGTTTGGATGAGCCTGTGTCTGCCCAAACATGCTTCCTGGACATTAGTGCAAATGCACAGAGCGGGGAGAGACAGATGGGCAAGCAGATGGACAAAGCGAGCTACTCACTAGATGAGTCACATTTGAAGTGACCATTGCCAAAGCCTAAGCACTGGCACGAGAGCTTAAAGCCAGAGTCAGACAAACGCTCCCACTCCTCTCCGATGGTGTAGTGGGAGACCGTGTAGGGGTCGAAGCACATTTCGTCCATGTTTGGGGCCAGGCCTTCATTGGCTACATGGAGAGAAGCAAAATAAACACAGAGTTTACTGTTAATGTGGGATCACGAACCGAAGCGAATGAACTGAGAGTATACAGTCACTTAATTCTCAACCCCCAATCCCAGCAGCATGAAGAAAGCCCCATCTAGTCCTTCAATAGACACTGCTCTAAAAACAATGCTCAAGTATCCCGGTGGACCCCTGCCTGCAGGCTACTTAAGAGAAAGCCCACTTTTTTCACTGTCCGTTGTTAAAAGTATTCACGTCTGGCAAATCTACTCTCTAGAATTCAGAGAAGATCTCCAAGGGATCTATGCCAGTGAAGACCTTGGCCGGGATGAAGAGAATGGGCAGGCCCCTTCTGTGAGGATCTGGATCAATATGTAACACTTCCCCAACGGGGATAACGCCATCACAATATGAATAGCACTAAACCCCCAACCTCTCAGGGATCTTGTAAAGGTTCTAGGAGATCATGGCTTCGGTCTATACAGAGTTTCCCCATACCTGTTTACAGGAGCAGACCGCCCCACCTTTCCCCCTTGAAGTGGCTGGCGGTTTGAATCTTAGACCTTGCAGGAAGCAGCCCACCTCCTAACCCACAGTCCCAAGAGGGAGGGCCCCATAGCCCTCAGAAGCGCTCACTAAGTTAAGAGTAGCTGTGAGAGAGGAGAGTCTTTTACCGGTCATGCCAGTCTGGGCATTTTCTCTATCAGCATCATGTGATCTGAGTGCTTTCCCTTCCCCACAAAGGCGCAGAAATCTCCTAGACGGTGTAGTGTCAACATGGCAAGTCTGTGCGCCTTCACGAAGACAATCCACCGATCCAAATTATGAGGAAGCTTATAGTTTGGGTAACTTAGGAAGAAGAGACCAACTCGCTTCGTGCGAATTTCAGATCTTGGCTTTTTTGTGTTTTGTTTTGTTTTAGAAGGGCTTGTTGTAAAACCATCTACGCAAACAAAGCTCAAGCTATTCTCTAAACACTTAAACTAGCTTATGGTGGTTTCGAATCCCAGTTGAACTGCAGATAGTTCTCTTTCTTTTTAAACAGGGCAAGAATCAAAAGCTCAAAAGCAAGAAGTTTGACGTGCCTTATGTTTTAAAAAGCACCACCCTGGAAGAAAATAGTTGTTGGGAAAGTAGGCAGTCTGAAATGTATCCCAGCCAGGAAAACCTGACTACACTACGGCATCTGGCTGCGGGACGAGAGAGTTGGACGGAAAAATGGAAGGAGCTGAAACGGTTACGACGGGTTTCAATAGCCACAAAAAGCCCAGATGTACCATTCCACCCTGGCTCAAGTTAGGGAGATGCAATTGGGAAAAAAACACAAAGCTAAAAAAACAACAAAAAACCGCAGATGAAACCGATGTGAAAAAGTGCTCTTGAAATTTTTTTCATGTGGCATCTAGTCTCATAAAGCCATGCGAGGCATTATTGCATAGATGCAATGCAAACAGCCCACAATGAATCGTCCTTCCTCCCTGCCAATAAATAATCAACTGCCTGCGTCAGAGGAATTTACACTTGGACGCCAGCAGCCAGCCACCAGATGAGGGAGGAGGCTGACATTAAGGAACTGGCTGCAGGAAGAAAGCCCACCCTTCTCAGAGGCCAAGTGCACACACCCTGCCCCCATGGAGCAGAAAACCTTCCAGTCGGAAGCCTGGGGAGCCAGGGTTTGGTTGACACCTTACTCCTTTTCCTTGGTGCTGGCTTCAAAGGACTTCCAAATTGAAGACCACGGCACCTCTATTGAGGTATTCAACTTACCCCACATCAAGGGGGGTGAAACCCCTGAAAGAGCACAGGAATCAGGGAGCTTTGGGGGACAGAAATGGGCTTTGTGGGTAGTGCTTTCTATTAAGAAAAGAAAAAAGCCAGTTATTCCCAAAGTCCTACAAATGGGGACTTCTCTTGACTCAGGGGATCAGTCTCAGATTGTTCAAAATCACTCAAAGACAGCAGTATTGTGGGATAAAGAGGTCCCAGCGAACAAGATCAGGAACACTGTTGTTCCTTTGTCAACCCTGACACACATTAGCCAGGACTTGGAAACATTGACCTAAATACTATTTGAAGTTCCTTTCAGGAGTACTGCTGTGTGGCTACTTGAGATTCTCCGTCCCGGTGCATTTTGGAAAGTCACCAGGGCCCCTTGAAAGTTAAAGGATGAGAACGTAAAGCCGCTCCTTTCCTTCCTATTGGCGTGCAGAGTGGGTTCCCAATGTGAAAAGGAACAGCAGCAAAGGCACAGGCACCCAGGAAAGTCATCTCTGGTGTGGCCCGAGTGGAGCCGACGTCCGAAGACTGCGGGAGTTCACATACCAGAGCTGCCCACAGTCACAGTCTCCTCGCGAACCTTGTGCCTCCGCTGGTCTTTCACAGCCTCCACTATGATGTTGTAGGTGACCCCTTTGGTGAGGCCCGTCAGCGTGGCACTAGTTGAAGTTCCAGGAACTCGGAACTGCAATGATTGATAAATTGAAGGTGGAGGGAGAAAGCATTATTATGAGGACTAGACAGGGGAACCCTAGGCTCGGAGCACTAGTTCTTGACGTGTAAATAAAGCAATGGAAGATGAATAAAAAGGTATAGGTATTCCAACCAATGAAGAAGAAACATGGGCTGAGGGTGTGTAGACCACATCTCTTACCTGCCAAATTCTGCTGCCAAAAAATCTACTTAGGGTGCCGCAGAGTTATCAGGTCTCCTCTTTATCCCCACAGCAGCAACCGACCAGGGAAAATCCACCAGAAACCCAGGTGATGTCCCCTTCGCATTAAGTGGAAACACAGTGCTCAATGCTATCCTTGGTGGCAGTCATGTTGTCCTTGGGGACAGTAGGCCCCAAGAAGTTGGCAAATCCTTAAGGTCATGCTGCCAAACTTAGAAATCTCCCACAGCATCGTCAGAGTTTCAAACATACCATCGCTCTCTCAAAACCTCAAAACGCAAGCCCGATAACCATGGCAAACCGAGACTCACGAGGTAAATGACAAGAGGGGGCGCTTTGGTTCAGAGCACCAACGCTGGCACACGCCGCTTCACTTACATTCTTTCCCTTCAATTACATGTATCATGGATTTGTCAAAGGCAAGCTAAGAGGATGGTGTTCTAGCCTTCCTCATACACACACGTAAATTCAGGCCGAGCATTTCTCTTTCTTCACTTCCCTCACGGCTGTCTGTCCGTACTGTGCCCGAGCCGCAGATGTGAGAGAAGCAGGGCAAAGACTCCACCACTGAGGGGAAGCTAACGGCCCGCACGGGAGGGGGCGGGGGCATGCCCCAGAGCATAATGGAGATAAAATTAATATGAAAACAGAACAAAACCAGCACCAGGGCTGCCGCATGCCATCCCTTCCCAAGAGGCCCCATAAGTGGAGCTACATTTCATCAGCATCCCAGTTACATCAACAAACCAGCCTACCCGTGCGCCAGCAGAAGAGAAAAGGTAGTTACCTGTAAGGGTTCATCCTCAGTGCCAATTGGCTGACAGGAAATGATGTACTCAGAACTTTCCTGGAATGGGGTCCACGCGATGGTGGTCTGCGAGAGAGCCTCTTGTCCTGTAGAAGCATTTGCACTGAGTCCCAGAACAAGAGGGTACACGTGGTCTGAGTCTCCCCAGGGCACAGGATCGACCTGCACATCCTCACCTACATTCGGCGGGTATGGTCTTGGCCACCTAACAGGGGTGGCCGTGGTGGGTGGTGTGGTCCGCCTAAAACCATACTCTTCATGGATCGCTTGTTGCCCGACACTGGGCTGCTGACTGGAAGTGCCAGGAAGCTGAATACCATTTCCATTGACATACTCGGGATGGGTGATGAAGGGGGTCTTTTCAACTGTGGAGGGAACATCCAAGATCTCTGGTCCAAGATGACTTGGGTGTGGAAGGGTTACCAGTTGGGGAAGCTCATCTAGCCAAGGAAGGTTAGAGCCAAAACAGCAGAGCGAGTTAAGCAATCAGAAGTAGCAGCGTCCATCATCATCAATTCAAGTAACAATGATCATGAATCCATCGGAGCAAAGCCCCTGGCCAATTAGCAGTTCCCAGATCACAAAAACACTTTTTTTTTTCTCCCCAGAAAGAAATCTTATGATTTTTCTCAAAGTTTTCTTCATAGTTTAGAAAGAAAAAAAAAATGTTAGGATGAATAAATCATACCCCCAAAGCTTTGAGCCGCTGGGCACCACGCAAGCTTCTGCTCACAAGACACAACACACACACACACACACACACACACCCCGCAGCCTTTTCTTTCTTTCCCTCCTTCTTTTCTTGCCACCTGCGAAGCTCGTGGTAAGAAGCAGACCCTCAGGCGAGGGTGTCCGGAGTATGGGATGTCCAGAGATTTGACCCAACAGTTTGTCATGCTTTCAAAATGGTTAAAAACCACAAAAAACACACATGCTTATTTCTTCAACCCTCCTGGCCTTAGAAACGGATCGTTTTCTTTAAAATGACACTGAAACTGGATGAACGAGTAGCATGCTAGCTAGTTCCCCATTTCAGAAACCAGCTAATGACTAAAGACAGATGGGCAGGGTTTCTCTCTACTTCGTCATTTTGCATTTACAGCCAATAGAAAGCATAGAGGAGCTAGCGCAACTTGCTCCCTTCTCATTTTGTATCGGCTTTGAGTTGTTTAAAGGTGAGTAACAAGACTGTCCACCGACCGGTGGCCGTACAAATAAAACCAAGTCCAAACGCCGCAGTCTGTTACCGAAGACTGCAGTGCATATGTTAAGCTGTTAGGGAAGCAAACAAACAAACAACCCCCAAACTAATCCTTTGAGAAATGCACTGAAACCTGGAGAAGCTGTTCACACTGTCAACTCTATCATTCGACATTCGGCCTGTCTTGCCTTCCTCCTCATTAACTGGGAGGACGGCGCGCTTTTACCTGTCTTTTTCCTCCCGATCAGCGGCTCACTCTTCTGGTTGTTTTTCAGAGCAATGATGTAGACTGTGTACTCGGTTCCTGGCTCCAGACCTGAGGGAAGGATAGAACCACTGTGCTCTATGCTCGGAATCAGTTCAGCAACTCGGTCTTCTCGGCAGAGGCTGCTGGAAGCCCAGAAGTCTCCACAAGGCTGTGGACCTCTTGAAGTAAACTTGCTTTTACTTTTTTTCCCCCTCTTCAATTAAAGGCCCCAATACTCTGCATACAATGGCTATGTAGCAAAGTAAGTGCCTTACTTCCCAAACTGACATGTGGATAAACACGGTTATGCTAATTTTTGGAGGTTATTCATTTAACATGTGGTCTTACTGGTCTTTGAATTCATAGAAATTGATCAGCACTGTACACCTCCAGTGGAATACACACTTGGGAATGATCACTGTGCTTGTGTGCATGAATCTACTTGGGCCCAAGAAACACACAACCTTCAAAGGCAGGCTCGATGGGGCTCAAGGTATGTGGCTGGGCAGGAGAAGGGACCTCTCTGCCCATAGTCAGGGCTGAACTATCCAATTCAACTCTTCCCCAAACGGATTCAAATGCCTGGTCTCAATGGTGTTGTCAAGGATTGAACTTGTCGAGGGTTTCGCTTTACTTGGATCCATAGTTAAGGGCCATGGGAGCAGCAGCCAGGGAGATTACATAAGGTCCTGCAGCAAACCTGTGGCCAAAGGTCTCTTGAAAATGTCAAGAAGCAAAGGTATTACTTTGAGGACTCAGGTGGGCCCGGCCCAAGCCGTGGTATTGTCAAGTGTCCATGGACAATGGATCAAGAGGAGCACAGAGAAGAGACAGCTCTGGATCGCAGTGTTAGAGAACAATGGATGTACTGTGAAGAACAAACACATCTGTCTGGAAACAAGGACAGCCAGAATGTGCCCTAGAGTGAGGAGGGAGAGGCTTTGTCTTACATCCTTTGGACATGTGACCAGGAGGGAGCAGTCCCTAGAGAGGAACATCATGCACGGTACAATAGAGGGTCAGGCCAAAAAAGAGAAAGCCCCTCAGAAGAGATGGATTGACACCGGGGCTACAGCCATGGGTTGTGAAGCTGCTGCTGGTGTGGGCAGGGTCCCCGCTGGTTACACAGAGGGTTACTACAGGCTGGAACCATTTCGTCAGGGCTTGACAACCACGGCGACACAGGGAGTTCAGAGTGGTGACAGGGTCATAATGAACTGGTTTGCGTCTAAAAAAGTCTTCTTGCAACACTGAACCAATAGATACATAAAGGGACCAGCTTTCAACAAGCAGTCATCTAATGAAGTCCTCGTGGCCCTACTACTGACATGACGGCATTGTCACGGCTGAATCCCTTCTGAGGTGCCGTGCGCCCTGTCGCTCCTAGACAGAGCTGGTTTTTCAAAGTTCTCAGACATACGGCCTCGTTCGCGTGGCATCGTGTGAAAGACCTGGTGTACCCTAGGGAAGGTGGAAGGAAGTGGTAGCAGGAATGGAGCAATACCAGTGATAGTAGCCTCCGTGTCACTAGGCCGGGGCCGAGGGCTCACTTCTCTGGGAGGGGATCCAGGCTTCTCATACTTGAAGATGTAGCCAGTAATCTTGGCACGAGGTGGTTGCCATGACACCAGTAGGGAATTGGGCGTAGTGGCCAGGAAGTGCAGGTTAGATGGTGCATCGATGGCTTAAAGAAATGGAAAAGAAAAAAAAGCAAATGTGAAATTTCTAAGATAATGGTTCCTCAAGTCAGCTTACTCCCCACATCTCCTCCTTGCCCTCATAACAGCCCTTGGGAATGTTGGGAATGATTCACTGAGCTCCCTCATATGGAACCGTCTGCTTCCCATTTGTTTCCAGAGTTCCTGCGACTGAGCCCAGCTTCCCAGGGCCTCTGTTTCTTGTGGAGGAAGGAGAGTTACCTGTGGAGGCGTCAATGACCACGGGTGAGCTCCTGGCATTGTCATTCAGCGTGTACAGGTAGATCTTGTAGTCAGTGCCGGGCTGCAGACCTGGGGTTTCAGAAGAGATGCCTTGGATCTGTGTTTGCTCCACGAGGGCAACTTTCAAATTCACTGACAATTTTCATGGTTCCTCTATCATTCTATGTGTATGTAGATCACATCAATGGTCCACATGTGAACAATACATTATTATGTGACGTGGATATGCACTGTTAATGAGAAACTAACTCAAAAAACAATTACCCATGCTGACAAAGACTTGAGCTAGAATAAATGTTTGAGCTGAGAAATGTTTTGGTTATCAAGTCTTCAGATCACAGCTTTGGAAACCTTAGAGGACAGAAACCACCCTGTCCCGGAGGGTTTCTACGACGGACAGCAATGGGTTTGGGACCTTTTTTTTTTTTTGAGGGAGGTATGGTAGGGTAATGTCTTTTCCCAAAACATAAATGGATAATCACACAAGTGAAAAGTCTAGTTTATGTCAGTGCAGAGTGCCCCCACCTGTGATGGTGTAGCTTCGGACATCTGGACTGATGGTTCTCTGAATGGGAGTCTGGCCGCCGGCTGGGACGGCGTTGACCTGGAAGCCAGTAATGGTCTCGGTCTTGGTTCGCCAGTTAATGGTGACGGTGGTCTCCGTTGTGTCTGTCACCCGGGCCCGTCTGGGAGGGCTGACATCTGCACAGGACCAGACACCGAGGTTAGGACCCGCGTGGCTCAGTGATGTGAAGATTTGGTATTCTAAAATGTTTCCTTATGGTGCAGCAATTCCATGAGCTGCCAGAAATGCTTGCCTGATAATGTGCAGGTTTGGGCCCATGGCATCCAGAGAGAAAGGCCAACAGTGCTTAGGAAACAGCAAAATACCCATCACACCCTTTTCCCTGAAGAATTGGAAAGTTTTACAGATACGACCAGTGAGCCCCAGCCCTGGCTCCACGGTCCCTACTATTAGCTTAATACGTTTAAACAAAATCATCAATTTATGGTCATATCAAATCACGTGTGGACGGAGTTACAATCATATGGCCTTCCAGCAATGACACATACATCCTGTCTTGCTCGTATTGTTATGGCAGTATGGCCTCATAGCTCTTCTCCGCACAAATCCAGTACCATCTTATTTTACCGAGGAGGGAACTCACACACTTCCTGTGACTTCTGAGTGGGCTATTGAGATGGCACAAAACTAGAACCTAGAACGGATTTGCTCCAATATGTACCACACTTTTCAGACCTATCAGAAGCCGGTGTAGCCGAGCCAAACTTAAATGGATGGAAGCAAAGCCGAGCAGGAATTGGGTGTTAGTTCCCAACACCTACATTATAACATTGCAGCAGGGTAGAGGGACCGCCTTCTCGAAGGGCAGAGATGGCAACAGTCATAAGTCAAAATGATGGGAGATTAAGCCAACTTCCAAACTGCAAATCATTCAGCTGCTACTTTAGTGAGCTAGAAAAGCACCGATCACGTTTCAATGTCTGTGTCTACAGACGCAAACTGATCCGGAACTCTTGGATTACGTACTCTCCAGAGTGGTGACGACGCCTTGAGCCGGTCTGCTTGTGAGGGTGTCCTTAAGCGCGTACACGCTGACTTCGTATTTGGTGGCCACCTGGGAAGAAGAGCACGGGAAGCCTTAGCAAGGGGATCCTTTGTGGCGTGAGAATGTTCCCTTCTGCATTTGATCAAAACAGTGGTTATAAAAGAAGGGGGCGGGGGAGATAGCAAAATCTGCGACAGTGTAAACATCTGCACTAAACACCTCGCTTGCCTAAATTAAAGACATTTTTAAAATTCTGAGAGATTAAGGCCAAGGAAAGCACAGCTCAAATACTCCAGGGGATGAAAAAGAACGCATATTGTCTTCGCCCATTTTTGTGATCTGATGGTATAAATCGTGACTTTTCCCCGTCCTAGAGAAGCAAAGAGAGCCTGCTTTGTTCAGTTCTAGATCCTGCCTTCTCCAACTTTCCCCTGAAGCAGCCTTACACCTCCATCCCTGTGTTACACATCCAGCCTTACACATCCATCCGTGTTACACATCCCTGCGTTACAGCCTTATACACCCATCTGTTACACATCCCTGCGTTACAGCCTTACACACCCATCCCTGTGTTACACATCCCTGCGTTACAGCCTTACACACCCATCCCTGTGTTACACATCCCTGCGTTACAGCCTTACACACCCATCCCCGAGGGTTCTGGTTCATTTTCTGCGGTCACGTTGGGAAGGATTAAAATGATTTTACAGAGAGGAGAGTCAGGTGGTACAAAGGGAAGCATCTTCCTTTCAGAGGTAACAAAGGTCAGGAAATGCCAAAAGTAGTGAATTAATGCATTCAGTGTCTAGATACATAAACTGATCCCCTCCCACTCATGCACACTGCATTTTCAAATAAAGAACGTGTTTAAAGAACTTTGCAAGAGCTTTGAATTTCCAACAGTTGGAAATATTTGAGTTTTTACTTCTTAGACAGGTTTCTCCCTTACACAGGTTCTGCCTTCACGGGTTTTTGATTGCATTTCCACTACCTTCTAAAGCAGTGGTTCTCAACTTCCCTAATGCCACAACCCTTTCATACAGTTCCTCAGGCTGTGGTGACCCCCAACCATAAAATTATTTGTGTTGCTACTTCATTACTGTAATTTTGCTACTGTTATGAATCATCATGTAAACATCTGATACGCAGGATGTATTTTCATTGTTACAAATCGAACATAATTAGAGCATAGTGATTAATCACAAAACAATATGTAACTATATATTGTGAAATATTTATGTGTTTTCTGATGGTCTTAGGCGGCCCCTATGAAAGGGTTGTCCAACTTCCAAAGGGGTCACGACCCACAGGTTGAGAACCACTGCTCCAAAGTGTATACCAGTCTGTTGCATTGCGAAAACTTACATGTGGCTATGGTGGTAGAAACAATGGCACCAGGTGTTTCGAGTATCGGCAGGATCACCTGCTTCAACAGAGCTTTCAGAGTAAGGAGAAAGGATTGGTGGTCTGCTTTTGAAAATTAGTGAAAATCCTCAGGAAAAACAGAATATTGCCCAATAGTGCAGCGGCAATAGGCCCGTAGGCTGAAGGGCACTCACAAAATACCCCCTGGGTAAACCAATGAGTTCGGCCATGCTAACAACTGTGAAGATGCCACGAGATTGGGCAACCTTTGGTTCCCTTGTTCTTGGGTTGCCATGCCTTGGAGCCAACTCTACGGCCACTAACAACGATACCCAGGGCGTGCAATCCCTGCGTATTTATTCTAATGAAAGAAAGTCACTTCTTACCATGAGTCCCGATACTACCACGGATGTACTGTCAGGAGCAAGGTTGATTTCCTTCATCGGTCCAGTCTTCTCCTTGGGGGTCACTCTCACTCGATATCCAGTGAGCTGAACATTGGGTGCTACCCACTGGGCACTCACAGTTGTGGGTGTCACCTGAGTGAACTTCAGATCGGTTGGTGCAGGAATGGCTGTCGGGATGGTCATTGGTTAGAGGTTATCTTACAGGAAATGGGCAGAGGGAAACAAAGTGAATTCAAAGAAGTAGAATAGAATATTCTTGTTTGGTCAGGTGCATACCCTGATCCCTTAATACAAGAAAGTGTGACAAGAGAAGCAAACTGAATCAAGTGTTTGTTGGGGAAAAAATTTTTTTTTGTATCCCTGATTCTCAGAATCACTGGGAATTGTTTGATAAGCACCAGGATTCAAACGTACTTTAGATTTATAACTTTTTCTTAAAACAAGATTACAAGAAGTCAAATTGTTTTACTAGCCTTATTTTGGTTTTCCATTTGTACA